GCCAGGAGGGGACAGAAACAGCAGATCACAATTTGTCCAAATCAAAGTATTCAGAACCATTGACAAACAAAGCAAGTGTCAGGGATCCTTCTCAAAGACAACGGCAATGCAATTACACTGTCAGCATTTGACAAGCCCAGTGCTGAGCTGAGGAACTGATTATGGCAAGAACGATATGAGTAGAGGGTAAATCGGTTTACATAGAACAAAGTATATAATCTGGAAAACAGGTTGGTCGCTGTTTCATTCAGGGCTCCGGATCGCTGATTACGCGGTTAAACAATCTACTTCCATCTGCTGCTGAAATGTTAAGTTTGTTGTTCTACTATGGGATCTTTCATTCATTGTTGGACGGTATTAGAAACCGCAAACTGCTTAATTATGTCAGCACTAAAAAGACTACTTATATGGAATGTGAGTAGTACATCACTACAATAGTACTAAAAAAAGCAGAATGAAGAGAAAATTGAGAAATTCATTCGCAACTAGCAAAATGCTTCCAAAAGCCTCAGTATGGTCGGAAGTGAGTGTCTAGGGTTGTGGCTGGTCATCCTGCTCTTGTGTTTCACGAAATGGTCCCATACGACGAAGCGTCTTAAACAGCCTCTGCTGAGGAAACCCTATTCACTGCCTTCTCCTGCTGGCGGAGGTTTTTACACCAAAGTGAGAGGACGAAAAGCCCACATCCGGGGCTATAACTGGGTTGGTGAACCACTGGTAGTTCACCTAGAGGAGTTGGCCAAAAACCCCGAGTCCAAACTAACCAAGAGGAGACGCAAGAACCAAGCACACCTTCCCGGTTGTGGCAGTGGTCACCGGCTTGATTGGGGATCCATGTGTGGAGGGCACCTTGGACGTTTGCCCCCATCCAAAGGGCGTATAATCCGATGATCTGGACACCGGCTCCCAATGGATTGCGGTTTCCGTACACCGCCCGCTGCCTTGCGGGTCAGGCTTTGGCTAGCCAAAGGCTCCGGTTGTGCATTCGTCAAGAAAATTTGCCTGCCTTGGCTCCAGGGCAACCTAGGGGTATTCAGCCCACAAGCCAATCATGGAATGTTTTTATTTTTTATGGAGGTTATTGTACCATGGTTTTTTTGGCCCACAGTTCGGATTCAGACGTGTTTGAAAATATATAACTAGCAAACTTGAGAGGGAATAGAAAAAAACTACTCGAAGCTAGATTATGTAACACCTCAAGAGCACTACATTATTCCTATTTATGGATGATAAAAAGTATTTTGACCGGAAATATATCATCAACCAATCACTGTTCCAACGGTATCCAATTATCGACCAACCAGACACGTTTATTTTGTTGATATTGCGCGTCCGTTTCCAAGAAGTCCAATAACACGAGAGAATATTCGTCACATTCCGGGGTCGAATGAAAGAACTGAGATCCAAATAAAAACAGCGTGTACAAGATAGTGTGATTCCAAGTTGTAGTTGGAAAACATCGAAACAACTAGATAGGTGTGGATAGTGTGTAGCAGTTGATGGTAAACGAACTTGGTATTCTGGGTAGAAGATTACTATGCACAGTTAGCCTGATGAAATTGATCCGGTTTATTTTAGATAAAGTCTGCACTTCAAGGGGAGAACGGGGTAAAAAAACAGAACCATTTGACAGAGACTGACAGC